TTTTATGCCAAAGCTTTGCAACTTTCATACCTTCAACATAAGGGGTCGATAACCCCATACGAATGTGAACCGTAAAGGTTGAAGGCACTCTTCGCGTTCGAAAATACTGAGTTAAGCAGCTCAAATACCAATGACAGAGGGGTAGTTAACATACTGAAGAAAAGGAGCCGAAAAAACCTGTCCGAAATGCCCCATATGGAACCGCTTGCATAAGGCGAAGAATGGGTGTATTCGGACGAGTTCTCATTGGCTGTCCATTTAAATTGGAGAGAACAAGGAGCGGAACAACCACGCCACCAGCAAGTCCTTCAAAATGAAGGTTGGGCGTTGCCGTGGCCAGTGGGCGGGACCGCGGTCTGTCGAGAGTGGGTCGCCTTTTCTTCACGTATTTCACGAGTTACGAAAGTAGTACATGCTTCATGCTTGCGAAGAGGACTACCATGTCCAAGAAGACGTCTGCGCATTAATATGAGCGCGGGACGTGCTTTTGAAGCTATACATTTTTGGTTGTGATAACCGCTGTTTATTTGCACTATTCAAGAACATTTTTTCTGTTTTCACACTACCTACTACGTGAAACAAGAACTACGTTCCTGGTAAAAAGCAATGCTACATACCGAACAATTCATGAATGCTGCTATTTGTGCTGGATCCTTGATCGCCCGAAGAACTCGATTTATTGCCATTGTTGGAGTCCCATTTGCTATTGTTTGAGTCCCACTGAGTGTTCTGGATAACAAATAAATAAATAATGAACATAATCACAGACTTTCTAGTCAAAATGGCTTTAAGACAAACTGTATAACCGCCTTTCATGTGTCAATGTCATTGCCAGGTGAATAGAACGAGCCCTACTTGTCTGCGCCCTCTCACTTCTAGTTGTGCCGAGCACGTGTTTCGCCGCTGGACCACGGTATCGACGGAAGCGCTGCACCATGAGAGGATAGCGCGAGCGGAGAGGAGACGGCACTAGGGTACCACTACCCTCAGTTTTAAATGGAGGGAGTGGCACTTAAATGCGGCTGGGCGACCCATTCGCCCCGCACATGAAAAGGACCGTTCCTGGAGACGAATCTACAGTTTATCTTCAAACTGTCTTGGTTTATTCAAAATGAGCTAGATTAATCGCAATTCTCACATTCACAATCAGCACCCGTGATATCGTCGGCCTCGGGAAAATCTCCCTGCTCCCTCCGCGCTTACTCATAATTGACTCCCACACAAAAACAAGTCATTCATCATCAAGTACGCCATGAAATACAGTCTTGTTCGCTATTAGCGAAATGGCTTATCAGGCGGGATGATTTTCGCGCGATGCCTAACCCGTTATCCTCCAGCTATTGAGGCGAGCAAGTAGCAAGACTGTATCTCATCGTTCGTGTCACTCGTTCTCTGAAAATTTTTGTCGCATACCCTCTTAAACAACTGGTAGCGAACAAATTTGGCGCCGTGTCACACTTAGACTGCCTACCACGCCCATCATCCGCAGCGAAATAGAGTATATTTGTTGTCCGGTAAGTGCGGGAGAACAGCACGCCAATTATAAAGCTCAGCGCACCAGAAAAAAGTAACTTATGATTTTGACTTAACTCATAACAATGTTTACCCTCAGCCAGGAAGAAGGGATGCCCGACACTGGTAAAATAAGTCCACGAGCTAAACACTTCAAGAACGCAATATTTACGGTCTACCAATTCCGAGTTCCTCTAACATTTGTGACTCTTCCGAAAAGACTCTATCAATCTCGCACTACAGGTTTACATACATCCTTTACTAAACCCTGACTGGAGGTGTTTCCAAATTCATTCCAGGTAACTCAAATTTTCACCTTTGCTTCTTGTCCTCCTCCCATAGATTCCTTCTTAGCAGGTGACGAATTCACTTGTTGGCCTGAAGAGACTGATAATTATGAAGCTATAACGGACGGTACAATTAAGCTCACACATTACAGAAAAACTGCTAAAATTTAAGTTTCATCAAAAGAGGAGCCAACAGGGAAGGATTTTTGATGTCACTGTAAACGAAAAGATCACTTTTTGAGTGGATTTACAATGCAAAAACTGATGTTTAATTTCAAGCAAAAAAAGAAATATGCTCCTGTTGGCTCATATAAATTTTTTTGAAGATCTACGGGGAAATGAACTAGACCTGGCTGCGTTGAACCTGTCCTAGCGTCGCCCATCTGGAAAAGTCGCACAGTAAGAACACATCTTCGTCTTGATTCCTTTTATCTTCTTAGAGCAACAAGTATGCTCATAAACCAAAGAAACTGTCGATCATCGACTTTGCGAGAAAATTGGTTTTAGCGAATGCGCTCGTTTACTACATCAACGAGCAATATTTTAAATCTGTATGTTAAACAACTGAAACGTTAGGGGGCTGCATTAGCAACAGCCGCTCCTTTAGATAGCTTCAACTGTACGTATACTGTTAGTTCAGCCCCCCACGTTAGCTAGTCGCTGTGCATCGCGATTACCAGAGTATGTCAAGACCAGCTCTAAACATGCGTGAGCAAGCTGTAAAAGATTTATCAAATGTTATGCGACTCTCCGTTTAGATAGCATGAACCTCCCCAGTCTTTCGTGAAAATTTTAGTACATCCGAATTGAACATTCAGAAATTTGTCTGGCCAAATAGCATTCGGTGAACTGCGGCGGTTCAGCCGTTCAGTCCAATAAAACGACACTACAAAGCAGCTTTATCACCTCTGAAATGACCGCTCGAGGTCACTGATGGACTGGACCATAACTGAGGTATACATACATACTTTGCATCAGTGTGCCAGCGTATGGCAGCGTTTTGAAAATTTCGAACGCATGCCAGTGCCAGGTACTAGGTAAGCATGAATATCCATCTAGCCAGCGTTCACCGAGAGTAGAGAGTACGGGGATGTAGGAGGGTAGCAGACTGCTTGATCAACCGTCATGAAATTGCGGCATGTGCAACTGCACCGTGATACCGACTGCATAATGCTTTAGCAGTTGTGCGGTGCGATTGCACGCGCCGCAGTTTCACGACGAATATCCAGCTGTCTGCTCCCCTTCCACTTCCCCATACTTTCTCCTCTTGGATTGGACTCTGGTGATCGCCGGCGTACGTTTCTAGTCGCTCGAAACTCTGCTGCATGATGGCGTACGTTGGCATACGCTAGATCGCACCTATACTCCCCTAGGTGCTGGCGGTGGCTTACGCTTGAAACGCTCGAAAGCCGTGGGCTGGTGTAAGCTGACGCAAAGTATGAACGCAGCCTGAAGGTTCTTCCAAATCCAACCAACTTTTCGTTCGAGTCATAGAGCACGGCTCTAGAAAATTTCGAGAAAGCGAAAATTGGGCTATTCCACAGATCGACCAACCAAAAATTTCTCACGGACTACAATTTCTGTCAAAAAAGCGAGATCCTCTGAGAAGACACATTTTCTTCAGAACACTCCTGCATTTGGCGTTGTTAGTATAAATGTCTTGAAATATAAAATGGCTGTTTCTAATGCAATCCCCCTAATGAAATTGCACCACATAAATTCTTATTATGCAGAGCAATGAAAGCAGATCCTAGAAAAGTAATCTCCCAGTTATTACTCTTCTTTCATTGAGAAAACTATAATTATGGTCAGAAATATCAGCGGAACATCTTTTTCAGCTAAATATTGAAACCATCCCACTGATCAACTAAATGACTGAGTTCTCTCGAATAGTAGACGAGTAAACTCCTCTCCCAGCACCAAACACTGTGCTTCATTCCGCCGTCGCCAAATGGCTTTTCTACTTTAACACTCAAAATTGACGCTCTGCACGAACGAAGAAGTCTGCCATGAAATTACATTCTAAAATCAGAACCAGATTAAAAATTAGAATCCAAACAGCACTTTAGACCAAAATGTTAAGTACTACTATAAAAGCCTAAAGCATTTTGTCATTAAGTTACAAATATCAAGCATTAAAAAGATGACAAGCAACCGTTGCGCCTTATTTCATGTAAAAGCACTCGCAGTAGGAAATTGAGCACGATACCTCGCAATTTTCGCCACTATCAGCAGCGCTTCAGAAAAAGTACAAAAAACGCTGTTAATTACCAAGGAAAGATTACTAAAAGTTTGTGTTTTCGCGTGAATTTTGTTTTTATTTGTAAGTTTCTAGAAATTTGCAATAAACAAGCTCTCTGAGCACTCACTGCTTCAAGAGAAAGGTAACGTACCAAAGGGGGCACAGGTTGTGGAGTATTGAAAAAACTGATTCCTTCAGCAACACCTCCATATCCCATAGAGCCTCCAGCACCTCCGAAAGGCATGGCCCCCCTGTTCATATAACCCATTGGACCCATACCATATGGAGCAGGCCTGCCATATGGATTCATCATGAGTCCGCCTCGCATTGGACGCTGAAATGAAAATATGTCACGATTCAAAGGTTTGCAAACTTGGTTTATATATTTACAGATTCTAATTTACAAAAGTGTAACATCCACTTTTAGCTTGATAAGGCTGCGTTCATACTTTGCATCAGCGTACATCGGTGTACACCAGCGAAAGGGAGCGTCTCGAGCGCAGCCAGTCAGCGATTTGGAAAATACAGATATCGATCTAGCAGAGCATCTAGCGAGCGCCCGCGTACGCCAACGTTTTCTCGGGCGATTTAAACTCGAACAAAACTGCGCTTATCGTAATGATGATGGTAATGAACGGTTCAGGATGCATTTATGCGTTATGCCATTCAACCATTGTATTACGCAATTAATCAACTCAGTGTACGGTACCAACTCAGTGTACGGTATGGTATTAGTACTGCGGTGCGGCTACACACGCCGTAATAACACAGCACGCGCAATCGAACTGTTTTCTATTCTCCTTACTCTCATACAGTGTCTACTCCCCGCCATTGCAAACGCTGGTGAAACCTAGCGAAACGCTAACGGAACGCTGGTGAAACGTTAGATCGATACCTATGCTTTCCTTGCCCTCGCTACGCTAGCGTACGCTGGTGACGCTAGATCGATATCTATCCTTTCCTTGCCACTGCCGCTGGCGAACGCTGGAAACGCTAGCGTACGCTGCCGCGAAGTATGAACGCAGCCCAATAAATCTCGCAAAGTGAGACCTCCCAATCCACCACTGAGTATACAGTGGTGCAATATTTCGTCGGATAACACAGCTATGTTTCCCCAATCCCAATTCTGCCGGAGACGCATTGGACAGCTATTTTCTGTCCTAATCTCGTATCTACATCAAGCTTTTCGTTTTTTTTTCCTGGAAAACGGTATTTAGCACTGCAAGCGGCGGCAGGATATCCCTTTGCTGTCATGAAAAGATAAAGTCTAGGGAACTCGTACCGTGAGGCTACAGAGGTTTTTATTCAGAGTTTCCTCGTTTGTACCTCTTCACAATATGCAATCACGGGATTTGCCCGTAAAATGGGAGAAAAAGGAGCGCTAACCTAATCCAAGAGGAAGAGCACGCGCTGACTTGTATATGTCCATATACCTCCCCAAGGCCTGGACGTAGCGGAAGTAATTTGTATGTGAGGCTAATGTCGTTTGGACTCCAGAAATTTCGGCACCGAGCCCATTTTTAAATTGCCTAAGTCACCAAATCCGCTAAAAACTTGTATATAGGGGTAGTTTAACATCCTGATTACGAATATGACATTCACTCTTGTCGCTGGCGCCAAGAGAGGACACTACGATTACCTCGCGCAGCTCAATCGTAGTGTCATCCATTAGCGCCAGCGACAAGAATGAATGTCATACTCTCAATCAGGATGTTGAACTACCCCTATATACAAGTTCTTAGCGACTTGGTGACTTAGGCAATTCAAAAATGAGCTCGGTATTTCTGGAGTGCAAACGGCATTAGCCTGTAAGTGACCCGTGCCCCTCGTTGGCGCACGGGAAAATCTATAGTAACCGAAATAGTGGTACAAAACATTTAGCGTTACAACGAACACTTACTAAAGGCATGCCGCCTACCATGCCCATGGGTGGCCTGACCATTCCACGGCCGTTTCCACTTTTTCTCTTCAGCGGCTGAAAAAAGTCAAATATGAAGCACTGCAAAACAAAGTAATTACAAACCTCTACAGCATTTCTACATAGAATGAACGAAGACGGAAAAAGCACATTCATTCACTATTAACTGAATTTACTACTTGGCATCATTCCAATGTTGCAACCCCAAAAAATCAAAATTTTGCCGCTGAAACTCTACTTACAGACGTTATTTGGTGCGCTGATCATAACTGTGTTGATTGATATACTTGTCACAAATGTGACATTCATTTTTTTGCGCTGGCTCCAGTTGGCCTCCATTTTGTCACCAAAATCGATGAAAACTCGTATGCGGGAATTAACTGACATCCAAAGACATCGTTTTTGACCCTGGCGCTTATGTAGGGCGCAATCTCTCCTGGCCTCAGCCTTAGCAGAACGCAGACGATCATAGTGCCCTACATTAGCGTCAGCGCCAAAAATGAACGCTTATCCTTGATCTGGATGTCAAATAATCCCGTATCAAGTTTCCATCGATTCTGGTGACAAAGATGGGGGCGCAAATGGAGCCAACGCAAGAAAAAGAATGTCACATTCGTGACCGGGCGTATCAATCAACCCTGCTATGATCAGGGCATCAAATAATGTCTGTAGGTACAGTGCAGCGGGAAAAAATTGAGTTCTTGAAGTCGTAATAGTGCAGCAGTGCCACTTATTTCTGTTTCTTTGTTTATATTATTAGGTTGTCCCAAAAGTTCGTGGAACTTTCGAACATTTTTTCGATTAAGTTTATTCCAGTGGGAAGCAATTTTGATCAACTATATATATGTCACCTTCATTGGCAACTTGTTGCAATCACTACGCAATGTGTGGTTGCCCTGCTTCCAGAAGCCTCTTGGTTCTGTGCCCAGAAAGGCAGCTGGGTCATTTTTGAGGTACTATCAAAAATCGTATTTTTACCCAGAAGATGGCCGCTGTGGGATTAGTTTAGATGGCGATCGGAAAGAGCTAAGTCAGGGCTACACGAAGACTGTGGTGGAATTCCCCAGCTAAGCTTCGGGATCTCGAGCAGTGTCGTTTTCCAAATGTGTGACCCTGAGCTGTGGTGGAGTAGGCAAACATTGCTCGGTTTTAGCGATTTTCAACCCCCCCCCCGATTACAATAGGTTTCGTAGGTTACCACAGCGCTGAGAAGAAGAAATTCC